AGACGTCCACAGCTCTTAAATCTAGAACCAGCAGTTCTGACAAGTTCACCAGGCTTCCCTGCAGACCCCTACCTGGGCAGCACTGCTAGGTACTCAGTACTTCCAGCTCAGCACTGCTCACAGCCAGCTGCCACCTCTGTGCGGAGGACAAGAAGCTGTGACTAACCGAGGGCCAGGAAATCTGGGATAACTGAGGGCACTCCCAGATTCATACACAGGGCAATGTACTGCGTGAGCCCCCCTCCTGGAACTAAGCATGTTCTAGCTCCATGCCCAAGTTTGCACAGTGAAAACAGTGTTAAACAAGGCTGGAAAGTGTTGAGTTTCACGGGAAATCTCATTAACTGTGATTCAAAAAACGGCCATGTCAAGACAGTCCCTTGAGAAAAGATGAGATTTGAGAAGGCCACCCACTGACAGAACAGGGCAGTGTGGGGGAGGGGGGAGCTGTAGGCAAGGTCCCTCCACCCAAAACAGAAGAGGGGGGGCGGTTCTGAGGTGTGGCGCCCCTCCCCAAGCTGAAGGCACAGTCCCAGCTGATAACCGTCACCTCACCTAATTACCCAGGCCCAGAGAGGCTCTGTCTGATCATCAAAGGACAGACAGACTTCTGGGAGACATTCTTTGTTAGAAAGAGAGGTTGGAACTACAGAGAGTGGGCAGAGGGACAGATATTCTAGGCTAAAATTAGTCAGATTGTCCCAGTGCCAGTGGTCAGAATTCCAGGTGACCTCTCTTAAGGAGTCATAGTTAACAGAACTAATCCTAAATAAAGAGCTGTCCACTGAAGTTTTCTGAAAAGGCCTCTGATGTGGACATTGCTCTTTCTTTCCCCTGTTATGCAGGCCTCTTCCTCTCCTGTCCTCTGAGGTTTCAATCCGTCATTTCAGGCCCTCTCAGGGAATAAAGGGACCATTGCCTTCTTTGAAATTAATATCTAAATTTTGGAAGAGTTATTCTTTTTCTCCTCTCTGTGAAGGACCCACATATTCTGCATAGAGAATAGTCTTTTTAAGAGAAGCCTATGGCCAGAACACCCTCAGATTTCCACAAAGGAAACAGAGCCTGTGAAGGCAGCCCCGGAGCTGAAAACAGAGCCCTGCCCTTCTTTGCTCCCCAGGGGACCGAAATGTTCTCAATCTCTCAACAACAAAAAAAATAGTCCAAGCAGAGCCACTGACCTGTGCTCGGCACTGCCGTGAAGATAAACAACAACTGGGTTCCCATCTCCAAGGGCAGCTTCGTACCAGCAGCGGCCCTTCCCCCTGGCGTCGTCCCCCCGACAGCTGGGGACCACGTGCCTGAAGGGCCAGGAAGGGGTTAACAAGCATGTACAAAGTCAGAGACCACCGCCCTTGTTTACATTTATTTATTTATCCCAGTAATGCTCTTATATGCATACAGTAAAAAAAGAATAATACTGCAAAACATCTTATGATGAGAAGGACTCCACCCTATGCCAGCTCCCCAGGCACAGAGACAATCCCTTTAAACCGTTTACTGTTTTCGTTCTTCTGACTTCTGTACCCACGTGTATGAATTTCCCAAGACTGTAGTTCTAAGGTGCAGCCCATTGAAATGACAAAAAAAAAAAAAGATGGAAACAAGTAAAAGATAAGAGCTATTTGTCATCTTCCATTGGTTTGGCTAAAGAGACAAGTAGGAAAGAATTTAAAGAAAAAGAAGTTTATGTAAGAGTAAATAACTTGAACACAAAACTAAGCTGTTTTCCTAAAGAAAAGTGAGAGGCGTGTCACACAGGTTCACCACAGCCTGCTGCGGTGAGGACACTCAGCAGCCCCAGGGAGAGAGCCACATGGTGAGGAGCCGAGGCCTCCTGCCCACGGCCAGCACAAACTTGCCCACTGTGAGACGAGCTGCCTGAGCAGTGAATTCTTCAGCTGACTGCAGCTGAGGCTGATATTTTGACTATATGAGACCCTGAACCAGAACAACCCAGCTAAGCTCTCCTGAATTTCTTACCCTGGATGTATTATGTGAGACAATAAATGTTTGTTGTTGTTTTAACTCAAATAAACAAGAAGGTCATAAAAAGTGACCTGGTGATTTTAAACACAAATGCTGCCACATGATGTGTTACAATGGAACTTGGAGAACTAGCTAAGCCTTGACAAGCCTGCAGTCCCCCCATCATGGAGGGGCAGAAAGTCTCCCATTATGCTCAGGGCCTCTGTACCTAGGATTTGGGCACCACTGCTCTCAGCATGAGCTGGTCTTGGTGAGGAAAGCTGAGTCACTGAACTGAGGACCAGTGGGACAAAAACTAAGAGTAAAACGATTTCTAAATCCCAATACTATTCACTGCTCTGTACCCTGAAGAGCAGGAAGAAATTATGGGCACCCATAATGGTTCCTAAACATTTTATGATCGAAGCTTTAAACTTGGGGAGATGAAATATAAAATGGGACACTGGAAACTTGGCAGCCAAAAACAGAAGAAAGCATTGAGATTAGTACAGAAAAAAAGGACAATTAGAATGCTTATGACTTCATTTGACAAATATTTGTGAGTGCCCTCTATGGGCCAAGCATTGTGCAGAGCCGTGAAAACTCAACAACAAAGTCTGTTACCTCCTACGGAAGCCACAGTCTTGTAAGAAAGACAAATGTTAACCAAATACTCACATTTATTTAATTACATGGAAATAAATGCCAAAAGGGACAGGCATCGGTGGCATGAGAGGACATACCTACGATGGGGGGTGAGGAAGAGTCTTCCCTAAAAATTACCAGTTAAAGTGAGATGCAAAAGATGAGCAAGGAGGTGGTTACCAGGCGACCCAGGGTCCCAGCAAGGAACTCACCAGACTCCCAGAATCACCCCAGGTTCTGCTCTGATGTAGAAGTTCACTGTGTGCGGAATCTTTAACTCTGGTTTCTTTAAATCCACAAGAAATGGGGCTTTGACTGAAAAGTAGAAATTATTATTATCGACTCCCAGAATCAAATCCCATGTTTCTTAATCACAATCCCCCCAAAAGGAATAAGCCTTTGTTAGGTTAACAGGTTTCCATGTTGCGAGCTACTCCACTAAACTCCTAGCAAAGGATTTGATGGTATCACCATTTGGACCAGCCAGCAGAAGAAAGGCAGCAAAAACAACAAAGACAAAAGCTAAAGCTAGAATTTAAATCAGCATCAGTGCGCGGCCACAACAGGAATGCAGTTTATTCCCTCCTTATCTTCATCTCAAGGTAAAAGCAAAGGAGACACTTTCCTAAAAAAGTAAGAGGGTCTGGAAGAAAACAACGAGTATCATGATACTTCAGTGAAAACTAATAAGCCATAAGCCAAGAAATGTCCAGGATCAACTTACACCAGGACCAAGGAGGTAGGAATGAGAGGACTGGGTCACACCAACAGTGCCCAGCAGAAAAGGCACAGGAGACTGACCCTTACGTCAGCGTCTCCACCTCTCTCTCTTTTTCTTTAAAAGATCCAAGAAAGAAGAGGAATAGACTACAATAAGCGGTTAGGCATCCATATTAACAGCTATTTTTTTTTTTTTAGATTTCATTGATTTTTAAAATTTTTTTAATTAAATCATAGCTGTGTACATTAATGCATTTGTGGGGTACAATGTGCTGGGGGGGTTTGTTTTTGTTTTATTCTTGGAGATTCATTGAGGGTACAAGAAATCCGGTTACACTGATTGTATTTGTTAGGTAAAGTCCCTCTTACAATTGTGTCTTGCCCCCAAAAGGTGTGTCACACACCAAGACCCTAAATGTGCTGGGGGAGGGGTTGTTTCTTTGTTTTTGAGACAGAGCCTCAAGCTGTTGCCCTGGGTAGGGTGCTATGACATCACAGCTCACAGCAACCTCCAACTCCGGGGCTCAAACGAGATTCCTACCTCTGCCTCCCAAGTAGCTGGGACTACAGGTGCCCACCACAACACCTGGCTATTTTTTGGTTGCAGCCATCATTGTTGTTTGGTGGTCCAGGCTGGATTTGAACCAGCCAGCTCAGGTGTATGTGGCTGGTGCCTTAGCCACTTGAGCCACAGGCACTGAGCCAATGTGCTGGTTTTATATACAATTTGAAATACTTACAACAAACTGGTTAACATAGCCTTCACTGCACTTTCTTAATTATTGTGTTAAGACATTTATACTCTACACTTGGTATTAACATTCATATTAACAGCTCCTGAATGGAAACCCCACCCATGATGCCACCTCTCTCTATTCTCCATGGTTTCCAAGGATTCACAGTAGAGTTCAAAGTCAATTAAGTAGATTTCAGACCATTCAACTTTAGCCATAATTTTATAATTAACATGCCTTTTTTATTTTAGAAAAATGTTTTTTGATACGGAGTCTCATTCTGTGTCCCTGGCTAACCTGCTATAGTGCCATCATAATTCATAGCAACCTCAAACTCCTAGGCTCATGTGATCCTCCTGCCTCAGCCTCCCAAGTAGCTGGGTCTACAGGTGCCCTCCACAATGCCCAGCTATGTTTTTTAGTAGAGATGGGGTCTCCCTCTTGCTTAGGCTGCTCTCAAACTCCTGAGCTCAAAGGATCCTCCCGCCTTGAACTCCCAGAGTGCTGGGATTACAGGCATGACCCGCTGCACCTGGCCCTTTTTCATTACAACTTTAAAGGCAGTGAGTTCTTTGGGAGGGGAAAAATTACATAGAAAATTTACATAAAAAATTCATGAAAGGTATATACTTACAAAAATTGAAATAAATCAGCATCTCCATCAGAGGGGGGAAAATGTGTTCCTTTAAAGATTTACTAGTAAAGCTGTCATACAGAGCAGCGATTTTTCTTCCAAGTGTCGAACAGGAGTGTGGAAAGGATCTGCAAGGTATTGAGAAACAAACAAAGTTTTCAAAAATCCGTGCACATTTTATCTTGGTTGTTTTTTTCTATTAAGTTCCAAATCAAATTTCAGAGACTAACACTGGGAATTCTGGGTAACTTGGCATTAAAGCAAAATCCTTTACACAACACACATAATTATCTACAGGGCTGGTGAGCATTAGGCCCCAAGAGGGGACCAGGTAAAAGAAGTAACAGGGCAGGACCCCAGCCAGGCCTGAAAAGCCAGAGCCGGGCAGGGACAGGAGGGGAAGGGACGAGAACGGATGCACCAGGGCTGGGCTCGTTCCTTTAGGGTAGCCCCAGAGGAGGTCACGGCTGGACCCCACAGTCGTCTGTAAACAAGATTCAGACACTTTTAAAACAGTTGCCACAGTCTTTAATACATTAAGATGCAGCGCCATGGTGTCAGTCCAAGGCAGTGAGGGATAATCATTAGGTCCCCTCTCTCTGGCCGGGTCTTAGGAAGAAATGAGGCAGGGAGAGAAACCCCCCCACTCTGGGGGTGATCCCTGGAGGAAAGCGACCTATGTGGAGCAGGGCTGAGCCTGGAGTAGGACACAGGCACGTACAGCTTGCTTGTTCCACTGGTCCCTGTGACACCAACCACCCAAGGTGGGAGGCAGCAGCAGACTAGTGATGACTTGCCCATGAGGGGTCACTACTGCCACCTGCGTCTCCAGACATGTCTCTGGTGAGCATCAAGAGTGTCTCTGCCGGGCACGATGCCTCACGCCTGTAATCCTAGCACTCTGGGAGGCTGAGGCAGGTGGATTGCCTGAGCTCACAGGTTTGAGACCAGCCTGAACCAGAGCAAGACCCCGTCTCTAAAAATAGCCGGGCATTGTGGTGGGCACCTATAGTCCCAGCTACTCGGGAGGCTGAGGCAAGAAAATCACTTGAGCTCAAAAGTTTGAGGTTGTTGTGACCTCTGATGACACAGCAGTCTACTGACAACAGCAAAGTAGGAAAAAAGGGTCTCTCCCACCTTTGAGAGATGAGGAATACAAGTCAATGTCATCATCTCCTGGTTCTGGTTTTTCTCCACATTATTCATTAAATAAATTCCTTTCCCTGTTGTGAGTGGCCCATGTAATCAAACCACAAGGCTGGGGGCCCAAAAAGCACTTGCAATGAATTGTTTCCCTCTCTCTACTCTGATTTCTCTGCTAGACTGAAGGCATTTTAGGAGGTAATCATTACCTTTGATTTGCTAAGGGGACACTGGAAAGGTAAGTAACCTCTCCAAGGTCACAAGCCAATGAATGGCAGAGCCAACTGTCTCAGGTCTGTCTGACCCCAGTGTCCTACAGTGATCTCCAGCAAGCTGTCACTGGCCTGGTGAGTTCCCAGGCCTTCCATAAAAGCAAAAATGGATCCTGGGAACAAGGCTGGCCTCTGGCAAAGTTCTTTTCTCAGAGACTGTTGTTTTAAGACCCTCTTCTGCACCTTTGCCCATCAGGGTCCCTTCCTTACCCTCCCCACTGCTGTGTCCCCAGGAGCTGCCCTTTGATAACAAAGCCACCAAAGAAAGACCCCTTCAAAACTTAACTCTAACCCACATGTTAATAACTTAAAAGTCAGAGCACTTATATATGTTTGCAAGTGGCAGAAAGGGAGAAGATAATGAACCTCTGATGAATTTCAAGCAGTTTGGCAGGAAGTGGAAAGGGGGCGGTGGCTCCCTCTTCAGATACAGCACACCCAGCGAGGGCCTACTCAGAAAATCAGCAAGAAAGAAATGAAAAGGGTTGTTTCATAACACTTTAAATTAACCCCGGGAAGGCGGCAGGAAGGAGAGGACATTGTTGTTCTTATTTTAGAGATAAGAAAGAAATCAAAACCTAAAGAAGCCACTTTGAGCCACAGATCAAGCCAAAGTGGACAGGAGTGAACAGGAGTCTGAATTGTTAGGTCCTGCCTGGCTCCCCGCACCACAGCAGCCACCCCACCGTCTCAGTCTCCCGCTGAGCTGGCCTTTGAAGGTAGGCAGGGCCGCCACCCCCACCCGCTAAGTTGGCTTTTGAAGGTCTGCTTGGGAAGCAGAGGTGGTAGAGGGAGATGTGCTTCTGTTTTTAAGGAATAATTCATACAGACCCGTCTCTCAAATAGCTCCAGGCACTTCTGTGGGAAGCGCTGCGGGAAGACAGTAGAGTGACCAGATCCCTCCCAGCATCAATAATGCAAAGCCACTTCTTTTAACCAGGGGGTTGTCAATTTGACTTCCCCAGATCGGTAGGGGATCAAAAGTCACCAGTGGCTAATAGACCTTACTCAAGCAGAGGATGCAGTTGCAGCCCAAGCCTCGCTCACGGCCAGCCACATCACACAGCCACCTTGGGGCTCTGCCATTCTTCTACCTCCCTTTGATCAGCGCACCTGTAACCACACAGCATCCCACAGGGGCCCCAGACCGTAACTGGGTGACTCTCACTGATGAGATCTGGTGTGCGAGCCGCTACAGGGCAGATTGTTCACTCTCAGAGGTATCTGCACCTCATATTTCAGAAGCCCAAATCTAATCACATTTAGCAGGACAATCATTTCAAACATTAAGACATGTAGTACATCCAACCTATATCAGTTCAACATTCAGCCTGAGTGTGGCAGACACCAAGTACCAGGTGACACCCTCCCACCAAATCCTTTCCTTCCTTCACTCCTACTCAAGTGTCTCTTTTTTTCAAAGCCTTTCTGGACAGTCCCGCCCATGATGACCTTTGCTCTCTTTTCACCCCTCCCAGGAATTATAATTGAGGCCTGCGTTTGACTGTGAATTTCTCTCTGATACTCTTCCCATTGTGCTGTGCCAGGTCCCCAGCGACAAGAACATGGCGTGCCCCTCCTCTCTCACTCTGCTCTTTCCAGCCAGGGCTGAGCCCAGCAAGTATTTGTTAACCCACAGGTTGAAAATTGAAGAAAATAAATTTCTTTTGTAAGGGGCGCAACATTTGTTAGTAGCTTTGAGCAAAAGAGGAAGGGCTTCATTTTCTTTTTTGACTTACAATGCCAGCTCCTCAGAGCAGGGACTTTTGTCTGGTTTATTTACCATTATGTGCTCAAAAATAGCTAAGAATGGAAACCATGGAAAGAACGAATACATTTACCAGCCCACGCACAGGGGTTTTCAGAGCACTATCTGGGATTGTGACAACTGCGGATGAAATGGGGTCAAAAGGAGGAAAATAGACCTTTAATTTCCCCCAGTTTCTTTCCTGAACATGTTTTCCAGTTTTCTAACATAAAGAAATCCAGGTGCAAGTGGAGACTTATTCTCCCGGGCCCACCTGCTATAAGCATCAACTCTATCTGACAAAGTTTTTGTAAAATAAATACATAGATTCCCAAGGCATTAAAAAATAAATCACTGAAAATGTGTGATTAAATGTTCTCCTAGAGTATCACAACACGTCCCCATGGACCCAGTGCTGCCAGCAATGGCAGGCACATCAAACTCTCCAAGAGGGTTTGCTGACCTAAACCAACCTGGCTCCAGGAAACAGAAAGGACTCAGACGTGGGAATGGGTCTGGGCCTGAGCCAGCACACTGTGC